GGCCAGCACGCAGGGCTCGCTGCTGTCCTGCGAGCAGCACGCGGAGCTGGCGCTGGTGCCCAGCGCGAGCAGCAGCGACGAGGCCATCGCCGCTGCTCCCGACACCGACGCCAGCAGCAGCGGCAGCAGCGGGGAGCAGCCGCAGGCCGAGAGCAGCAGCGGCGGCGGCGGCAGCAGCAGCAGCAGCGAGGAGAGCCCCGAGCCCGCGGAGGAGCCCGCCGAGGCGGCCGGCGAGCCGCGCGACGGCTGGTGGCGCAAGGCGCCGGCGCGGGGGGACGCAGCGCAGCTGCCGCCGGCGCACAGCTGCGCCGCTCAGCACCAGCTGCTGCTGTGGCCCGAGGCGCCGGGCGCCGGCCCCGCGCTGCAGCTCGAGCAGCTCCTGGCCAGCCTGCAGCCCGCCGAGCGGCAGCAGCTGGAGGCCGAGGTGCTGCGGCAGCCCCTGCTCGCCCGCGCCCGCCGCCTCTTCGACTCCTGGCTCCGCTCCTCCGACAGCGCCAAGGCGGCCGCTCCGCCGCACGAGGTAGGGAGCGGCCCCGCGGGCTCTGGGAGCAGCTTTCCCGGCGGATGCAGCCCCGGGTTCAACTCCTCRCCTTGCAGGACGTGCTCAAGGAGCTGGTGGCGGCCCTGCAGCACAAAGCGTCCAGCACCCCCACGCCACCGTGGGCGCCCAGCACCCCCGAGCACCCACGCGTGGCCCAGCCCGAGCTGCCCCCCTCCTTCCTGCAGCGCATGATCCAGAAGCTCGGCCTGAAGACGCTGGGCAGGAGGGAAGCGCAGAAGCCCTAGGGCGCCTGCCCAGGTAGGGGCACCTGCTAGCCACAACACCTGAGCTGCTGGCCCGGCCACAACGGGGCCGGCTGGAGGCTCCGTCCCCCTTGGGGCTCTGGGTGGTTAGGGATGGAGAGCAAGGCTGAAAACCCACGAGAGAGGCCCAGGAGGGAGGGTAGCAGGTTCGGATACGCTCCTTTATTTAATCCCCTCAGGTGGAAAGCACTATGTACACACGACAGCCACCCCTYATTTCTTGGTCTCCTCCTCCTTGGAGAGGGTCTTGATGATCTCCTCCTTCTTGGCTTGCAGACGTTCCTCCCGGCGCTTCCGAGCCTCCTTGGTCTTGGACCTGCGAGCTTCAGCCTGGTCACTGCAAGAAGTTAAGAGTTCATGAACGCATAGGGATTATTTCGAGCCGCCCAGATAAAGCCTTTAACACTGGCCTGGTCTCTCTTCACCGCACAGCGCCCGGCACGTTTGGGCATCCCCGGCCCTGCTGTCCCCAGCCCCGCTTGGCCGCCAGCCCCGGGGGGACGCTGGGCTCCGCGCGGGGCTCTGCTGCCCCACGCCGCCAGGCTCCGGCCGAGGCCGCGCTGTGATCCTTGGCCCAAGTCTGACACCCAGCCAGCCCCRGCCCTCAGCTCCTCCCCGGTGAATCATGTACTGACGTGAGGAGCTGGAGCAGTCATTCTAGCAGGGCAGGGGCCCGGGAGCGGCTCCCAGCTGCCACACGCACAGCCAGGCGCGCACAGCGCGGCCAGCRCTACGGACTGGCCTCTGCCTTCGGCCAGTCCTGCCCGCTTCTGCTTAGATTTGGCACCAGAGCCCCAGACAAGGGCACCAGAAGCCCCTTGCAACTTGCTCTGCGGGCAGCTAAGTTCATTACCCGCCCCGCTTCCGCATCGCTCGGGACAGAGGCTGAGCACCGAGCAGACACTTACGCCAAGAGCTTCTTGCGAGCCTTGTCTGCCTTGAGCTTGTGGATGTGCTCCATCAGGATGCGCTTGTTCTTGAACACGTTACCCTTGACCTTCAGGTACAGGCTGTGGTACCTGAAGAACACAATGGGCCGGAACCGAGGCTGTCAGCGTGGCCCACCTGCCGTGACAACCTCGTCATCCCCAAGCTACAAAGCTGCTGCACGGTCGTTTTGTCTGTCCCCTCCCTCCTGGAGGCAGGAGGGGGCTTCCCTGGGAAACCGCCAGGATTATTCCAGAGCAGTTCCCAGCGCCACGCTTTCTTGTGCCAAGCTGCAGCTTCATGGACCAAGCAAGGCACCGCCAAGCAGCAAGGGACCCTCCCCACCCCGCACGGCCTCACATGTGGCGGTCGATCTTCTTAGACTCCCTGTATCTGCGGAGCAGGCGCCGCAGGATTCTCATTCTCCTCATCCAGGTGACTTTCTCAGGCATGCGAGCGTTGGCCGTACCCTTTCTCTTACCTCGGGAGAGAGCACAGGATGAGAACATGCCCCAGGTTTCTGCAAGCCCAACAAACCCCCTCTGCTCCAACCTTTAATCCCTCTTTTCACTAACAGAGAAGGGCATCACCACGCCAGCTACATTTTTAGACCTTGCCATCAGACCTCTAGAGTTGTTTGCTCAGGACAACGTTGGAGGCGAATCAAATACCATGGGAAAAACCAGATATTTGCTGCGGCTCGGAGGGAGAGCCGGCACTTACCGATGCCCATGTGCCTGCCCTTGCGGCGGGCCAGGGTGTTCTTCCTGCAGCGGGCCCGCGAGTGCACGGTCACGGGCTTGCGGATGATCAGGCCATCCTTGATGAGCTTCCTGATCTGCTGGCCTAGGGAGAAACGCTCCACCGTTAACAACGGCAACGAAAGCAAAGAGAGAAGGAAAGGATCCGGCACCAAGGATGAGGCAGAGCCCTACATCCCAGGGCCTCCCTTGCGCACCCGGGGTTACTTACTGCTTTCCCATCCCCTTCCCCCCTTATCAGCTGCCTTGAGCAGCTACCACGCKCCAAAACCACCGCAGTTTTGTGACTGTGCTAGAAGCTGTCAGCCCGGTGTCCACGTCCCGAGCGTCGGCCTCCCACCCAGGGCAGCCACCACGCGGCCCCGCGCGGAGGGCAGCGCGGGGCGGGCGGCCGCTTACGCGAGTTGGCGTTGGCGATCTCGTTGGTCTCGTTGGGGTCGAGCCAGACCTTCTTCTTGCCGCAGCGCAGCACGCTGGACGCCAGCCTCTTCTGGAGCCGCAGCATGCTGCGGGGCGGCCGGGCGCCTCAGCCGCGGCCCGGCCGGGCCCGCCGCCACCCCGCTCCCCTCAGCCGCGCCGCCATTTCCCCTCCTCGGCCCCGCCGCCACCCCGC